CCAGGGATAACTCAGGCAAATAAGAAATAAGAACCTGTAATAAAAACCAAGCAACCAAACCCTAGATCTGAAAAGAGAGAAATCTGAGAAGGAAATGAAAAACGAAACCAATCCACAGATCTCTCCACACACGAACCCAGAACTAGTTAACTAAACAAAAGCTGAAAAGCCAACCGACGCCGTGGCTATGGTGGCCCACACGCGCCGATCGGAGAGACAAAACCAGCGGCGAGTTTGTTGTAGAGAGAAGGGAAAGAGTTTTAATAAGGGAGAGTCAAAAAAGATGGACTCGGGACGCCGGGTTAGCTTGTTTAATTCCATCCTTTTTGCAAATTTACAATGTGTCCATTCAAATATCATAAAGTTTTTGCTTTTGTTTGTTGTTGGGTCCCTCTATAAACGGAACATTTTTTTTTTATAAAGAAGAGATTGATTTGAAATTTTGAAAAGTTGGTCCTATTTTGTAGCTAAAATAGTGAATTATATCGTAGCCGGATGTTCAAAAATTAACGGCAACAAAAAAACACGACCCGACTCGTCAATGCAACCTCAGCAAAGCTTCTGTATAACCGTCGATTCCTCACTTTTGTTTCATTACAGAAAAATATTAAATCTGTCCGATTAACAAACACTTCTTTTTCTTTTTTCTTACTAAGAAGAGACTACTTTTGATATTCGTAAATGTATTGCATTTCAAAAAAAAAAATATATATATATATATATATATCGCATTTCTATTTTCTAACGATGGTCGTGTAAACATGTTATCATACGACTTTTTAATATGTTTTTTTGGTGCGCTGCTGTAGTTGTCGATAGATAAATTTGTTATGGCCGAGCTGCTTTCCTTTGTTAGCTACAACTACAAATCAATATTATTATTAGTAAAGTTTGTTTTTTTTTTCAATATTAGGAAAGTTACTTATCTTTTTTTTTTTTCGGCAAATCAAATATATTGATATCATAAAAGTTTACAAGGTACAGAATAGATACAAAACAGAATAGTTACTTATCTTACAACAAAAATAACCTTTCTTTATAATAGGAAAATTAGGTCACAAATAGATATTCGGATATTTGCGCCTTTGCGGTATCTATTATTTATTTACTCACTTTATTACCAGCTTAACTAAAGTATACTACGAGGAGGATAAAATTTTAGGTTAAATAATTACAAATAACTAATTTCTTTAAGCTGTATTACAAATTGGAATAAAGTGCGAAAACTCTTTCGGCAACAGAGAAGAAAAAAATGTTTTTTTTTTTTGTTTTCTCGAATATATAATGTTTATTAAACTTTAAACAAAGGGTAGAATTGTCCATAGAAAAGATTTGACAGCAGTCCCAGCAGAGACGGCTCAGACCAAGTTGTCAAGTTTTTTTTTTTAATTCTGTTTTGTTATGAATTCGTAAACAAGAGAAATTAAAATACATTAATCACTGGCTATTCGAGACTGAACAAATTAGATGCATGTTTTATAATTGTGTAAATTATTTTTAGTCAACTAATATTAGTAATTCTTAAAACACTGAAAACTGAGAAGTACAGTAATCACTTCCTTATAGTATGATTTTTTAACCAAAAAAATAAAAATAAAATAACACGTCGTGCAATATTAATTAATGTTATTAAAAAAAGAATGGTTGAAGAAGAAAAAAAGAAGAAGAACAGAAGAAAACGGAGGTTTTTGTTTCTGGAGAGAAACCAAAAAGTTAATTTTGTTTTTTTCTCTTCGCCTTTCCTGCGATTCTGAAAATCTCTCTGCTTCAATCTCTTTATCAGAATCGTAGCAATGGCGTCACCTTCTGAGCTTTGATCCTTCTTTTTTTCTTCCCCGTTTGTGAAAAGAGACTAGTATTTATCATCGTGTTCACCGCCGATCTGTCGCCGGTTGATGGCAAAACCATTACTTTTATCTCGAATTTACCCGGATTCGTTGGATTGTTGGTCGTTCCTGTTCCTTCTATCTAGGGTTTCAACTCCGGCATAGAAAATATCTGATTTGGTTAATTTTAAGCCCCTATTGGAGGCACATTGTATATTTGAATTGGTGAGGTCCGTGAGGAGGAGGATTTAGAGCCGTCCGATTGGGGTTTGACCCGATTGAAGCGGAGTTCTCCAATCGGAGAGGATGGCAAAAAGTTGGCTTTTGGTTGAAAAGGCGAGAAGATGTTTGAGGACGGTGTTCTTCATGGTTGCAATGTTGGCTTCTCTGCTAGTTTCGTCCTTGCCATTGTTAGTAGCTATAGGTGATGTGTTGGTCCCGAGCTTCTTGTTGTCGAGCTTTACTTGCGTGACGTGTTACGGCGCCAAGGAGCATCTGAGGCGATACGGTTTCAAGAGATCTCTAACTGATATTCCTATCGTCTCCGTTGCCAGATCTTTCCTTGTCATCTGTAAGGAAATAACATTGCGTTTTCTTGCTCTTGTTTTGGCAAATGTTTGATCTTTATGAATTTGTCGTATTAAAGTTTTGGTCTTTGGCTGTTACTGCTCATGCTCTATGTGTTGAATTAGCTCTCATAGATGGGAATGATTGATTATCAAGTCTGCTCTTTTAATGATCATAGTTGTATATTTCGTGAACAGGTGTCTATTTACTCTCGGACGTTCCTGCCCTCTCGCACGGTCCTTACCTTGGAACTGTATCTCTGTGTTCTGTAGTTTCGGTTCTTCTTCTGTCAGTTAAAGCTTGCCTTTTCACTGTTAATTCTCAACTCAACAACGAAGCCTCGTTCTCTCCATCTAGGCAACGGCTCCACCTGAAGAAGTCGTGGGGGATGCCGGTTTTGTTCCTCTCATCTGTGGTTTTTGCCCTTGGTCATACGGTTGTAGCATACAGGACAAGTTGCAGAGCAAGGAGGAAAATTTTGTATCACAGAGTTGACCCTGAAGCTGTGAGTTTTTGTTCTTTCGTTCTCGTGTATCTCGTAAATAGCGGTCATTTGCTTTGTTTCTTTTGGTTTAAAAGGAGTGTGTGTGACAGGTTCTTTCATGCAAAAGCATCTTCTCTGGCCACCAGAAAGTCCCGCGGTCACCCACTCCTGTGGTTGGCAAGGCCTCCAAGTTTGATGGAGAAGCAAGGCGAAAGCCTTTGTCCCATGATGAAGGAGAGCTTCCAGTGAGATTGCTTGCTGATGTTGACAGTTTATTCATTACAATCCGAGGGCTCACTGTGCATTATAAGCTTTGTGCACCTGGTTCACCTCGGCAGTCTATCTCCTCAAATGTTCTCGATGCCAATTCTAGTTACAATACGCCAGAGACAATGGCAGGAAGGTTGAAGTTTGACAGGAAAGTGTCGAGCATGGTTACGAAAAGCCAGCATCATCATCACCACAGGAGCTACAGCAGTTTGTTTAACAATTCTTCGTTGCACGACCCTCTTCTTGATGGTTCTCCTACTTCCCCTCTACTTTTCAAAGAAATTCAGGAAGGAACGAGCCTAGAGGATAACATGAATGTGTTCAATTTTGGAGCTGAGGAGCAAAACTTGGGTGAAAGTGGTCAGTTTGGTGTGGTCCTGGTTCATGGATTTGGAGGAGGAGTGTTTTCTTGGAGGCATGTGATGGGTTCACTGGCTCAGCAGCTTGGCTGTGTTGTCACTGCATTTGATAGGCCTGGTTGGGGATTAACAGCCAGGCCACATAAGAATGATTTGGAAGAAAGACAGCTGCTCAATCCTTATACACTCGAAAATCAGGTAGTTGTCTTCTCAATATTGAAATTATACCTTAATTGGGGATTTGTGTTCTCTCAGGCTGTCTCTTTGACAAAAACAATATCTGGATCTTCCAGGTAGAGATGCTTATTGCTTTCTGTTATGAGATGGGGTTTTCTTCAGTAGTATTTGTTGGTCATGATGATGGAGGTCTACTTGCTCTCAAAGCTGCACAAAGATTGATAACAACAAACGATCCCATCAAAGTGAGTAGACTTTTTAATCAGATGTATAGTTTCCAGGCTTATCTCTTTTCCTTTCTAATCCTAGTTGGTGCTGATATTTCTAGGTCGTGGTCAAAGGAGTTGTCTTGCTTAATACTGGCTTATCAAGGGAAGTAGTTCCAGCTTTTGCAAGAATACTTCTGCACACCTCACTAGGGAAGAAGCACCTCGTTCGCCCTCTTTTACGCACTGAGATAGCTCAGGTGGTGAATCGCCGCGCTTGGTATGATCCTGCCAAGATGACTACAGACGTCCTAAGGCTGTACAAGGTACCCTATCTCCTTCATTACTATACATCAAAGATGTCTACAAATATTTACAAATTTGGTGGACATGTATCAAATAATATGCTTCCCTCTTGTCAGGCCCCACTACACGTAGAAGGCTGGGATGAGGCATTACATGAGATAGGTAGACTCTCATCTGAGATGGTGCTTGCACCTCAAAATGCAACTTCGCTTCTGAAGGCTGTGGAAAACCTGCCAGTGCTAGTCATTGCTGGGGCCGAAGACGCCCTTGTGCCATTGAAGTCCTCCCAAGCAATGGCTTCTAAACTTCTAAACTCTGTAAGTCCCTCTTTCTGACACAAGCTCTCTTATGCCAGCTACGGTTTGTTTTCATGTAAAAATAGGAACTGACATTCATTCTTGTCAACAACAGAGACTGGTAGCAATCTCAGGATGTGGGCATCTACCACACGAAGAGTGTCCCAAAGCGCTTCTTGCAGCCATGTCCCCGTTCATCACTAGACTTGTACTTAGGCCAGATCTCCAGAGTCAATAGCCAGATGTCTTCTTTTCCTTGTCGTCTTCTTAGCTTACAATCGATTAGTGTCGCCCAAAAATTTGAGGCCCTGCTAGGTAAAATCATCTAAATAGTGTTGTACCCTTTCGTTTCTCTTGTGTGTTTTATATGATTCGAGGGTATTTTTCTTTATTAAACACTTGAAGATGAGTGTGGCACAGAATCGTGCAAGTCTCTGTAAATTTATCCGGTTTGGAATACAAAGTAAATTGCTTTCCTTTAAACTCACCACCATTGTCATTATATTAAGTGGCAAAAACGGAGCTAAATAAAAACCATACCATCCGGCACAGAAGCAACCAAACAGAGTTTATATATCAGGAGGACTTATTTAAACTAAGCTACTGAAGTTTCTACCAACATGGATAAAAGGTTGATCAATCAAACCAAAGATTCACAAGGCGGATGATAATGTAGCTGCAGTTCAACTCAATCAAGGAGATCGGAGAGAGGGGCCTTCTTGAAGGGATCGGTTTTAGTGAGCTGAGCAGCTAATCCTTTGTTGGGGAAGATGTTATCAGCTTTCATTCTATCCTTCATTCCATAAGCTGGAGCTTTGGCATTGACATAAGCTTGGATAAGGGCTTGGTACGTTCTGAAGCGAGATTGATAGCCAAATTGCTTCATCCTCTGGAAGATTTTCTCTGTGTTGTGAACATCACCCCTTCTCACATACTCGCCCATTACGTACATGAAGGAGCTCATCAACGGTTTAATCTGTTTCGACTGTATTGCCTTGCTCAGTGAAGACTCAGCCTTTTCTACTTCCCCAGCTTCCAGATAGAGCTTAATCACTGCATCCAATGTTAAGGCCCCAATATTGCACCCGCTGTCCAACATCTGCTTAACAAGATCCTTACCCTCTGAAACCATCTTGTGATCCACGTAAACCCTCAAGAGAACGGAGTAAACATTAGAAGAAACTCTATGGGACATCTTCAACATCTTCTCAAAAACTGCCTCTGCTTCTTTGACTTTATCGATCTTTCCAAAAGCCAAGATTGCAGCAAGGGACTCGTTATAACGGGGTTTTTCTTCACAGATCTTCCAAATTCTGGTCACTTCATCCGCCCTCTGGAGAAAGCCATACACGGAAAGCAAATCCTTGTACACATGCCGATTTTCCTCCAAGCTTTCACCTTCCATTTCTTTCAGCACTTTTTCAGCCTTCTCTTTAAGCCCAGCTGATGCATAGTTTCTCGCAATGAGAGCTCGTGCACGAAGGTCAGGCTCAACACCTTCACTTTTCATTGTCTCCACAATTTGTTCCATCCCAGTTATGTCATTTGATAATCCTTTGGTATCAATCAGGATTTTGTATGTGTTAAGATTCGGCTTCAGATTTTCCTTCTCCATTAGCAATAACACATCGGCTATTTTCTTCTTGTCGACCCTCTTGTAAAGAATAAGCATCTGATTACAGGTAAATGTTGACAGAGGGAATCCCAAGTCCTTCATTTTGTTGAAAACTGCTTCTGCTGTCCTCACATTGCTAGTTGCCACATAATTCGACAGGAGGGTTCGGTAGACCAATTCCCCTCTGAAAGATTCCGGGATTGTTTCGATATAAGCTTCTCCCTTGTACAGGCCTCGCACCTTGGAAATCAGATCAAGCCGAGAAGCATAATCTCTCTCTTTCATTTCAAACTGCTTATTATCGTCCAACCATTCTGTCATCTATACCAACAACAAGACAACACATAAACGAAAGAAAACACTTAGAGAACATAAAGCAGAAAAAATATAAAGTCTAAAGACAAAGAAAGCATTACTGAAAACCAAGCAAAATTCTTGGATACTGAACTAATTGATCGACATTAATATTCAGCTCATGTTGAAACAAAGAGTAATTAGTACCTGCAATGCTCTCCCATACATCCGACGTTTACGGAGTTGCAGCATCGCACTTGCAAACTCTGTACGGCTGGTATCCTTTCCTTGTTCAACCCATTTATCAAGAGCACTCCCTACAGACAGACCTGAGACAGAAACAATGGCCTTAAACAGCTCCGATGGTCTCTTGCTTGCCGGGACATGTAGTTCCAGTTCTGCTCCTTCAATGTCACCTTCATCACCGGAAAACTCCTCATCATCTTCACTATTACTACTAGTCTCGTTTGGAGTAGCAATGTCTAAATTCTTGTCTTCGAGGTCATCTTCATCTCCGGTTGTTTTAGCTCCAGCGTCAGAGGAAAGTGAGCGTCTTCCGGTAGAGGAAGACCAAGAGAGCTCGTAAAATCTAGGGAAACCATCGTGTTTATCATGAATCAAAGCGTTTGATTCAATAGCACTGTTTCTTTCTCCCAATGGTATATCTAGCTTAGAGTAGACAGCATTGCAAGCTCCTAGTCGGAGACTCTGACTTCTGAAAAAATTATAAATAATAGAAAGCTGCTCAAATTACCTTAAAACTCTGTATCACTCAAACCAGACAAGAAGCATTTCAATGTCGCAAGACTGTTAATTATATTCAATATGGGGCTAGAGAAGAAAACTGAAGAAGTATATTAAGAATCAAATGGTATAACAAGTATAATTGAGGAAACCAACCTCCGTAAAACCTTGGAAAGAGCAAACATGTCTTCTACTCGGACAAGATCTCCGGCACTGATCTGCTATTGTAAAGATCAAACACACGGACAAAACAGAGTGAGTAAAAAAAGAAACCTTTTTTTGCAAGGTCGGATTTTTGGAGGAAATGTCATGCATTTCACTTGCAAAGATCAGACCCAGTAAGCAAAAACTTTGAATTTTAAGAAGATTACAGAAGAAAAGTAACAGATCCTTACACAGTGAGACTGGAGACAAGTGAATTGAGCACGAAATGGAGGAAAGCTAAAAACCAGGAGAGCAGAGAGCTAAAAGGAAGGGTTTAGGGTTTTTAATTTTCACACTTTCTTTGTATTTGTTGGTTGTTTGCTTCATTTCTGGGCCCCCCTAGTTTCAACTGGGCTTTGAAACATTGCAACCATTTTATGATTTGGCCATCAAAGAAATTTTTGAAACTGTTATAAAGTTTCTTGTCAAACTTTGGATTAGATTCACTCAAATATAGTTGAAGATATTATTTATGTTCGTTTTATTCCGTCTTGAGAGACTTTTAAAAGGCAAAACCCTTTGTCACATCTTGTGATGATGCAAAAAAACAAACTATGAATCTATGTGATATCATAAGCTAACGATGATGTTTCATTTAGCTTCTGCGGCTTTTTCATTGATACGCAGACTTTCCGCTTTACGCACAACCTCCTCTGCCACAAGCTTCACGTGACCGCTTGGATTGCTCTCCTCATGATGGTTCACCGAACCCACCACCCATATTCTGACTGTTCCGTCTTCTGAGCCTGACGTGTATGACTCCCCTCCTGGCGCATACCTCACGCAGTGCACTGGCCCGTGGTGACCCTTGTTACACCCTGCATTCACCACATTGGCTTTAAAGGATACACACACACACAGGTTCCTAAAATGAAAACCCAATTACTCATTCTTTTCTAAAACAAACTTACCAATCTCCTCTCCAGTCTGGAAATCAAACCTATGCACCCACATATCTTCTCCCCCAGCAATGAAAGTGTTGCCGTGTTTCGGTTCCAAAGATGCCGATTCAACATTGCAAGGCATGTCATAGCTCTTCAGCAATCCAAAACTAAGAGAGCAGGAGAAAAAAGCTCAATCATCAAAGAAAAACGATAAAACTGTAACTGAGGATGCATTTTATATACGGTTAACTTACTTTTTAGCGTCCCAAAACTTAACACTAGATCCATCAGCAGTAGTGATGTATCGCCCATCCTGACTTACTTCAGCACTAGTAACTGGGGATTTTGTTTCTAATGTATGAACAATCTTGTCACTTCTTATGTCCCATAACCTACAGAGGACATACACAAAAGAACAATGAAACCAGGAAGACTAGAGGACTGGTCTAAATGCAAGGCACGACGTGGTGGTGTACCTAATGTCACCGGTATCTGTGCAAGAGCTTAAGATTGTATTATCACTATGAAGCCATTCAACGGTTCTAATTGAACCAGGGGAATTTCCGACTTCTTTTGGAGGTGCGTCTGGACGATTCAAATCGAATATCCGAAGTATTTTCTCCATTCCACCAGTGAGTAAACAGTGAGTGTCCTAGAATGTAAATAGTTGTGCATTACGACGACAATAGAAACACAAATAACACCAACAATTTTAGACCCTCAAATCCTACAAGTAATCTTAGTGAATCCCACCATTGATAATTTGATATCCTTAAACCAGAAAACTTGGCAAAGGATCAAATCACTCTTTGCTTGGGAAGAAACTATAGCTTACCTCAGAAAAGGCACATGCACGAACAATGTGCTTGTGTTCAAAGGAGTGCAATTCATCTCCTGTCAATGCATTCCATATTTTCCTGAAATGTGCCATGAATACAAAGAAACAGTCTTAAATCCTCGAGAAGATACTGGCAGGTGCCTAGCCTATTAATCTCACTTAACCATCTTCTCTAGGAACATAGTTTGCCCATAACTTAAAACATTAAGCAAACAACCCATCACCGGAGGATACTAAAACTGCAAGACTAAAAGAGTAAATGGTAAACTAAAAGTCATGAAACACAACAAGAAGAAGAACATACGCAGTGAAATCTGCAGAAGCTGAGGCAGCACGAATAGCATTTTTATCAAGGCTGCAACTCCAAACTGCTCCCTTATGTCCTTCAAAAGTTCCAATCCAGTCACCAGTCTCCCCATTCCTCAACATCGGATTCGAATCTGAATAGCAAGTGTAGAAAACAACTCAGCTAGAGTTACAACAATGTAGACAACTCATAATCCTAAATTCTTCATTAGATCAGCCAAAAATCAAAATACAGACGATATATAAAAAAGAGGCAGCCAAATCAATTCGTCAAAGCACATCCGCTTGCAAATCGATCGAGACTGAATCATAACAAAGATCATACCTTTGCTGGCGCTAATGAGGAAGAACCCATCTGGAGTCACCGGACTATAAGCCACATCGACGACGGGACGAGAATGCCCGTGGCACACTAACGGAGCTCCCATCTTTTTTTCTTGTCTATTCACTAACAAACCCTAATGAACAAAATCTAATCAAATAAACGATTTACTCGTTTCAAATACAGGAATCGATTAATTTCTTTGCTTTACCAGAATCGTTTTTGAATCGCGACAGGATTGCGTTAAGAAAGACCAATCCGAGTTTGATCGGTGCGAATGTATGACCAGCCAGAGAAATCCCCTTGAAGAGGATCACACCTATTAAAGAGAAAAGAGGGAATGATAAAAGGAGACACTTTTTTTTTTCTTTTCTATGGCTTAAACGCAGAGAAGAACTCGCGGAGACGACGATGGTCGTTACACGCTCTGAAATCAGAAACAACTAAACCTTTCGTATTTTACGATTAAAGGCTTGTATTTATTACTATTGATACTATGGCCCCATAACTTCAAACCAATTAAATTTCTAATTTGAGACTTTACAATAGTTGTTATATTGCCCTATACAAATAAATTTTGGTCAGTCACTCTTCAATTACGTGAGGATTGTTTGAGTTTTACGTGAGAACTTCACCTAACCATAATTTTTATTCTTAGGCCTTAGCTACGAACATTTTTTAATTTCAATATTGACAAATACATGTATTTCGTCCTTGTGATAAAAAATATTGTCGTGTCGACGGAATTAATATTTATATATCTGGATAACGTATAAACAATGAAATTATTAGTATGATGCTTGAGTGTTTGACTCAATGATTCATCATAAAACAATACTCGGAACCTCTCATGGTACGGCGTTTTTAATCTCGAGTCCTTTTCAAAGCTAGATTTTCATTGTTTTTAAAAATCTATACGATTTCGATCTACCACCCACGTTTATGTAATTAATCATAAGTACCACTTAATTATTTCATTATTCAATTCGTTATTTCGTATAACTCCTGGTAGCACCCGATATATACTAGTATGTATGTAGTTTGTTTGGTATGTACTACATTTTATTATTTTATAGAATGCTAAAACTTTACTTAGGTCTTAGATATGGGTCCAAAGTTCAAACCCATAACCACTACAAGGTGGGCTAGTGGTAGGACGGGTTTCGTGGTTGAGGGGTAATCCCAATACGCCCGGATTCGATTCCCCCTTGCTATATACTAGTGGCAATCAGAGAATTTACATGCGGATTTGCTCTGGCGCCCGAGACCGTAGACCGTTACCTAGCCATGACCCACCCTCGGATGTGCGTCCGTGCCGTAAGGGTTCGGTCTCTAGTCTGGACCACCTTGGTGGGGCCAGGACACTCGGTTATAAAAAAAAAAAAAAAAAGTTCAAACCCATGACTTATTTGAAAACTTTCTTCTGATGACACTTATTTCGATATATACGTAAACACACGCAATTTGACCGGTCGAAGATTCTGGCACAATAAGGGCATTTGCACGGGCAAGTGCCATAGGCGTGGAGTGGTGGTATAAGTATTAAAATGTGTGTGCATGCCTATTTCTACACATAAACATCTCCACCCACTCCAACTACAAGTAATTTTAAAATTTCACAAACTTGGTGTAGCATTTATTTTTAACTTTGATTTCCAATTTTAACAAAAAAAAAAATAAACTTTGATTTCCAATAACAATATGGAAGATTATATTTTCTGAATAAGTTACAGCAATTTAAGCAAAGAATATCTGCCCTAACATTTTGGTATGTTTTTTAAATGGAAATAACTTAGAAGAAAAAAAATGAAGACTAAGGAAACAACATAATACTCAAAAATGATACTATTAATTTTAAATTAATTAAGATGAATTCTTCATCTCTATATGATCATGGGAAAAGAACAGAGAGAGTGTTAAGGCGTCAAGATCACAGATGTCAGAATCATCCAATCGATTACTGACATGTGGATGTAGGCCCAACAAAAATACGTGTATAAATGGGCCCTGTCTCTCTATTTGCTACCGTTGCCTCGTTTTGGCCTATAAATCTTCCAAAACCCTATAAATCGCTACACAGTTAGTTTGCTCCGGTGATTCTCGTTCTCTCTTTCGTCGCCAGTAGTTTGCTCCTCCTTACGCCTCCAATTTCTGAGTTATTTCATGCTAACTCCTTTGTCTGATTTTGTTTGATATTTTCTTTGTCTGATTATGTTTTTGTGAGATGTGAAAGAGTTTGTAACTGCTAATTTCGATGTCAAAACTAGGAAAAAGGGGTAGATTCAATATACGACGGATATTATTAATTCATGGAGTTTACTGAAAAAGGTGGATTTTTTTATTTTTTTTGGGGGTGCATATGCAATTTCAAAGCTCACTTTATGAGAGAGGAGACGAGGAGACTTAGATCTTTGTCATAACAAGAAAATTTGCATTACTTTTGCTTGTTTTATGTGCATCGTGATGTTTCTCTAATTGAGTTGGGCACATTGCGTTTTCCTATTCTTATAAAAGCATAGAAAATTGACATTACTAGTTAGTAACAAAAGATAAAACAGCTATGAGGTTCTTCTTTTATTGAGAGGTGGAAAAAGACTGGAATCGTCACAAATTTAGAAAAATGTAGTATGAAATTTTATTTTTATTATTATGTACTATGTAGTCAGCTAAATGCTATGTTTAAAGTCATTGCTAGATGTTATACATAATATATAGCTCCCTCTTTTTGTGGTTTAGGTCATAAAAAGAGTGGACGAAATTGAACAGAGCGACGAGTTCTGGAGTCTTTGAGTGATTCAGGATATGGAGGAAGAAAGACTGGATAGCTCGAAGAGGCTATTTAGAGGTATCGTAGCAGATCTTAGAGGAAGAGCCTTGTGTTACAAGGAAGACTGGGTCGCTGGTCTCCGTTCTGGTTTCGGGTACTTAATTCCTGATTCCACTCTTACATAATCACTATTTAGCACAAACAGAGAACAAAACTTTGATATATTTGGGAGGTTTTGCAGGATTTTAGCTCCCACAACATATATTTTTTTCGCTTCTGCGCTTCCGGTTATCGCCTTTGGCGAGCAACTCAGCCGCGACACAGGTCTTTTTCTTTGAGCTTATCTCTCTAAAAGTTGTCATCTTTCTTTGATTTCTTTACGGTTTTGTGTTCACGTTTATTTAGTGGAACAAAAGTATTCAACTTGTCCACGTTTGGTCTGTTTTTTTTTGTTTGGAGGGTTTAGTTTTGCACTCTGATTTCAAGAGAAAATCCAATATGAATGTGTTTTTGATTATATTTTGAGGAGATTATAGAGGGAGCGTTGAGCACAGTAGAAACGTTAGCATCAACAGCGTTATGTGGAGTGATACACTCAATTTTGGGAGGACAACCGTTGTTGATACTTGGAGTTGCAGAACCAACTGTGTTAATGTACGTTTACTTGTACAACTTCGCTATAGGAAGACCAGAATTGGGCAAACAACTCTACTTAGCTTGGGCTGCTTGGTAATTACCCCAAAAGACTCTTCTCTTATGTTCTTTTTTTATTAATGTAAGGTTTTGGTTTTTCTTTATGGTTTTGTTGGTTGTTAAATTGAAGGGTTTGTGTGTGGACGGCTCTGTTACTGTTCCTTATGGCGATCCTTAATGCGGCTGATATCATTAACCGGTTTACGAGGGTTGCTGGTGAGCTGTTCGGTATGTTGATATCCGTTCTGTTCATCCAACAAGCCATTAAGGTATGAAGACTAAGAATCTCAACCACCTTGGAATTTTGATGATTAGTTAAAGCTTATTATAGACATGTTTCAAATAAAATTGCAGGGTATGGTGAGTGAATTTGGGATGCCAAAAGATGAGGACTCAAAACTAGAAAAGTATAGGTTTGAGTGGCTCTATACAAACGGACTTCTCGGCCTCATTTTCACCTTTGGCCTTCTCTACACCGCTTTGAAGAGTCGAAAAGCAAGGTCTTGGCGATACGGAACAGGTAAGAGAGATGATACTTCCCATGCTTTGGTGTTCATTTCTGTATGATGGTTACTGAAGCCTAAATATTTCTGGTTTCTTGAAAAGGATGGTACAGAAGCTTCATTGCAGACTATGGAGTTCCTTTGATGGTTGTGGTTTGGACAGCATTGTCTTTTAGTACGCCATCAAAACTCCCCTCTGGTGTCCCAAGAAGACTCTTTAGTCCTCTGCCATGGGACTCTGCTTCTTTATCACATTGGACTGTCATCAAGGTTACAACACAAACACAGTACACAAAAGATATTGATTCCGAGCATAATTTGAAGTTTTAATACCTGGCTTTGGTCTGTACAGGACATGGGGGAAGTCTCTCCGGGTTACATATTCGCGGCATTTATACCCGCATTGATGATAGCAGGGCTCTACTTCTTTGACCACAGCGTTGCCTCGCAGCTCGCTCAACAGAAGGAGTTCAACCTCAAGAAGCCTTCGGCGTATCACTATGACATTCTCCTGTTGGGTTTCATGGTATAATCAATCACACTCCCTTTCTTTCTCTCTGCAAGCTCACCTTTAAAACATTGAATATCTAGTTGAAATCTCTAAAACTAGTGTGTGTTTTTTTTCAGACGTTGATCTGTGGATTGCTCGGTCTGCCTCCTTCCAACGGAGTCCTTCCTCAGTCTCCTATGCATACCAAAAGCCTTGCTGTTCTTAAACGACAGGTTTAATTATTACTCAGTTAATCAACACTCAATATTCAGGTTAAGCTGGTGTAGTGGTCATAATGAACCTGTTTTTTCAGTTGATCCGGAGGAAGATGGTAAAGTCGGCCAAAGAAAGCATCAGGAAGAGAGAAACTTCCTCACAAGTGTACGAGAATATGCAAGAAGTCTTCATAGAAATGGACAAAAGTCATCTTGTAAGTAGTAGACTCATAATTCAATGTTCCGGTAAAAGAAAACTCAAGATTTGGAACAAAAATATCATAAGCTCTTGTTTTTAAAAACCAGGCTCAGACAGATCTAGCAGTGATAATTGAGCTGCAAGATCTGAAAGAAGCAGTAATGAAGAGCAATGAGGAAGAAGGAGAGGGAGACAAGGAGAGTGGTTTTGATCCAGAGAAGCACCTTGACGCTTATTTGCCTGTTAGAGTCAACGAGCAGAGAGTGAGCAACTTGTTGCAGTCACTGCTGGTGGCAGGTGCAGTGTTGGCAATGCCGGCCATTAAGCTCATACCTACTTCCATTCTATGGGGATACTTCGCTTACATGGCCATCGATAGCCTCCCGGGAAATCAATTCTTCGAACGCACAATGCTTCTCTTCGTTCCAACAAGCCGGAGATTCAAGTACGTGTTTTGAAAATGCTCTGTTTTTAAAGTTATTATTCAGATTTCTCTTCAAAGACTGATCATGTGATTGTTTCTGTCAGGGTCTTGGAGGGAGCACACGCGTCGTTCGTGGAGAAAGTTCCGTACAAGTCAATGGCTGCGTTCACACTGTTGCAGATATTCTACTTTGGGCTGTGCTATGGAGTGACGTGGATTCCGGTGGCTGGAATCATGTTTCCTGTTCCTTTCTTCCTCTTAATAGCTATCAGACAGTACATTCTCCCGAAGCTCTTTAACCAGGCCCATCTGCGAGAACTTGATGCCGCTGAGTACGAAGAAATCCCCGGCACTCCTAGAAACCCGCTCGAACTGTCTTTCCGGGTGAGTACATATCTATATAACATTTTTTGGGATCCCGGAATTTGGACTAATCCCAAGAGGTTTTCTTGTCATATAAGGCATCTACAATGACCTAAAATATTTGAATTTGTCGAATTAAACTTGTTCTACAGTCGAATGACTCGAAGAGAGGTGTCCAAGAAGGGGATGCTGAGATTTTAGACGAGTTAACGACAAGCAGAGGCGAGCTTAAAGTCCGCACAGTCAGTCTTAACGAAGACAGAGGCAACCAGGTTATGTTTTGTTATACATCCTTGATATGAATCTTTAACTTTGTAAAAAGAATTTCATAGACTCATGATCGCTTTTAAAAAACCTGCAGATTTACCCCAAGAAGACAGTAAATGCAGGAGACGGGGACATGAGCACGACAAGAGAGTGAGTGATCTATATACAAAAAAGAATCAAAGATTATTCTTTCAAGTGATGATCATGATCATGATCATATACAAAACTATATAGTATTGTAGAACACAGATTATATGTGGCTGTTTTTTTTTTGTTCTTAAACCCAAGATAGTGTGTGTTTTTGTCAATATAGTCTTCTTAGCAATGAAAAATCTATAAAGCATTAATAGGGCGAGAATGTACGAATGTGTAACCTTCCGAGAAGGCGAGAAAATATACTAAATTTCACTGAAGTCTATTCGAGCTTCTTCAATGTGTTATCAATCATTTTATCTTCATACCATAGACTAAATTTAATATATTGTGCTGTTAGAAATTCACTTTGTGTAGAAGAAAAGCAAAGGATAGCTTTTTGCTTGTGTAGTTTGATGTGCTTTTCAAAATTCGCAGGTATAAAATTAACTATAAGGTTAGAATTTAACAGATGAGATTAATAGCACCAAGGATCCGTGGCGCAATGGTAGCGCGTCTGACTCCAGATCAGAAGGTTGCGTGTTCGATTCACGTCGGGTTCAAATCTCCCGAATCATGATCCTTAACATTTTTTAACTTTTCCGCCCTTGAAAAAATTTAAAATGCCAATTATACCCATTGTCTTGCGCCTTCTCAGTTAAACCTAATTGTTTACCTTTTATACCCTTTGAAAATTTTAAAATGCCAATTATGCCCAAGGTTTGAAGCCCATGTACCGAGTAGAACGAGGATGGTATATTGGTAATTTAAAACTAGTTAAAATCTGAAAACCAATTGAAAAGAGGAGGAATTGAAGAAACCCTCGTTAAACCCTAACGCCGTAATCTTCGCCTCCGGCATATCTATCCTCCGCCTTCTCCAGACTAAGGTGAGCATCCGAACGCTATGAACTACCGTTTTCAGAACCTTCTTGGCGCTCCTTACAGAGGCGGGAATGCACTTATCACTCAGAATACTCAGCTAATTTCACCGGTTGGTAATCGTGTCTCCGTCACCGACCTCAATAAGAACCATACGGTTACTCTTTCGCTCGATTCCTCTTCCAACATATGTCGCATCGCTGCCTCACCCGACGGCACTTTCCTACTCGCCGTCGATGAACAAAACCGAGGCCTTTTCATCAACTTACCTAGACGGGTAGTTCTTCACAGAATTACCTTCAATGATAACGTCAGTGCCTTGAAGTTCAGCCCTAATGGTAAGTTTATCGCTGTTGGAATTGGTAAGTTGGTGCAGATATGGCGATCACCTGGTTTCAGACGAGCTGTTATGCCCTTTGAGCTAGTTAGGACTTTTGCTAATTCTGATGATATAGTTGTCTCCTTGGAGTGGAGCTTGGACTCTGATTATTTGCTCGTTGGCTCAAAGGATTTGGCAGCTAGGTTGTTTTGTGTTAGAAAGTTGAAGGGTGTTTTAAATAAGCCCTTTTTGTTTCTGGGTCATAGAGATTCTGTGGTGGGTTGCTTCTTTGGTGTTGATAAAATGACTAACAAGGTCAACAGGGCTTTCACGATTGCACGGGATGGTTACATTTTTAGTTGGGGATATACTGGAAAGGATGTCAAAATGGATGAATCAGAAGATGGCCACTCTGAGCCACCGTCACCTGTTACTCCAGAGAGGGCTGATGAGGTGATGGTGGAAAATGGTGGTGGTGTTGGTACTGATCTCAAGAAACGAAAAGAGTATGACGGTAAAGATCTTGAATCTGATGATGATGAAGAGTATATGCACAGAGGGAAATGGGTTTTGTTGAGGAAGGATGGGTTTAATCAGGCATCAGCAAAGGTGACAGCTTGCGACTATCACCAGGGGCTCGACATGGTTGTGGTGGGGTTCTCAAATGGTGTTTTCGGGCTTTATCAAATGCCAGATTTCATCTGTATTCATCTGCTGTCTATTTCTAGGGAGAAGCTGACAACAGCTGTCTTTAATCAGCGTGGTAATTGGCTGACCTTTGGTTGTGCAAAACTTGGGCAACTGTTAGTCTGGGACTGGCGATCTGAAAGCTATATACTGAAGCAACAAGGACACTATTTTGATGTCAACTGTGTCACTTACTCACCCGATTCACAGTTCCTGGCAACTGGTGCTGATGATAACAAAGTCAAGGTATGAAAATCTCAAAGACGTAACTATTATGTTCTATACCATGCTTGTCATCTATTGCTGAATTTAACCAGCCAGTTTTTTATAATGTTACATTTTTCAGGTGTGGAGCGTTATGTCAGGATCATGTTTCATCACATTCACCGAGCATACCAATGCAGTGACTGCTCTCCATTTTATGGCTGACAACCACTCCCTCTTAAGTGCATCTCTGGACGGCACTGTTCGTGCTTGGGATTTTAAAAGATACAAGAACTATAAGACATACACAACCCCTACACCCCGACAATTTGTTTCCTTAACAGCAGACCCGAGTGGTGACGTTGTCTGTGCTGGGACCCTAGATTCATTTGAGGTAATTCAACGTAGGCCCTAAATGATTCCAGTCACACTCACAAATACTGAATCACAGTTTCCTTTGGTGAGGTAAATCACGTTATGCTTGCCTATGTGCAGATTTTTGTATGGTCCAAGAAGACTGGGCAAATAAAGGATATTCTGAGTGGGCATGAAGCTCCCGTTCATGGGTTGATGTTTTCTCCCTTAACGGTAAATAAACTGTCATAGTCTCATACTTCTTTTAGTCAAAATACATTTTGTTACTTGGCTCTAAACAATTATGTGAATACTAGCTAATAATGACGTAGAATTTATCGGAGTTATGAATATTTCTGGCTTATGGTGTTATAATTTCCATTCCTTATCTAGTTCATATATTTCTTTCTCTGCAGCAAATTTTAGCTTCATCCTCATGGGACAATACGGTTCGGTTGTGGGATGTGTTTGCTAGCAAAGGCACCGTGGAGACGTTTCAACACAACCACGATGTTCTAACAGTTGCTTTCCGTCCTGATGGAAAGCAGTTAGCCTCGAGTACGCTAGATGGGCAGATTCATTTCTGGGACACCATTGAAGGTGTGTTGATGTACACCTTAGAGGGGCGGAGAGATATCGCTGGAGGTCGAGTCATGACTGACCGTCGGTCTGCAGCTAATTCAAGTTCTGGAAAGTGTTTTACAACATTGTGCTATTCCGCTGATGGAGGTTATATTCTAGCCGCAGGAACTAGCAGATATATTTGCATGTATGACATCGCAGATCAGGTTAGCTCATTAGTTAGCTTCTTTTCGAATTCGGCTTTTCCTGGCCTCAAAAGTTTGATGCAGATTTTGAAAGCTCGTGTCTTATGGAAGAAATTTAGTCCTAAGTGTTTGGAATATCACCTTTTCAGGTTCTTCTGCGCCGGATTCAGATATCCCATAATCTTTCGTTAGATGGGGTTCTTGACTTCTTGCACTCCAAGAAGATGACAGAAGCAGGACCAATGGATCTGATCGATGATGACAACAGCGATGAAGAAGCTGGCATTGATAAACAGTCTCGAGGGAATCTGGGTTACGATCTGCCTGGATCCAGGCCTAACCGTGGCAGGCCCATTATCCGGACAAAAAGCCTCAGCATTGCCCCAACTGGGAGGAGCTTTGCTGCTGCAACAACAGAAGGAGTTCTCATCTATTCAATCGACGATACCTTCATCTTTGATCCGACCGAACTTGATATAGACGTCACTCCAGAGGTGAGCCTTTTGTAAATCGCTGATGGTGGTTGTAGTTCTGATTATTGGGTTTGAAAAGCAAAGCTAATGTGTTGTTCGTGTAGGCTGTTGAGGCTGCCATAAAAGAGGCTGAAGTGAGCAGAGCACTTGCTCTAAGTATGCGTTTGAACGAAGACAGCCTTATCAAAAAATGCATCTTTGCTGTAGCTCCTGCAGACATAAAAGCTGTTGCAATCTCTGTCCGCCAGAAATACTTAGAAAGACTTATGGAAGCTTTGGTGGATCTGCTTGAGAACTGTCCTCATCTGGAGTTCATACTTCACTGGTGTCAGGTAATGGCTCTTTTTCCTCTCTTTCTTGATTAATCTCTGCTCAACTGCTCTTAACCTGATCAAACTTTGTTTATGTGCAGGAAATCTGCAAGGCACACGGAAGCTCCATTCAGAGGAACTACAGAATTCTATTGCCTGCACTGAGATCGTTGCAGAAGGCAATCACCAGAGCCCACCAGGATCTGGCAGATATGTGTTCTTCCAATGAGTACACGCTTCGCTACTTGTGTTCTGTTCCAAACAATCATTGATTATGTTTTCTGCATTATGTATCACCGGAAATTTTCATCTTCCTTTTCGGGGAAACAACTTTTGAAGTTTTGATATATGAGTTTCAAATCTGAAAAACAAAATGGAGCTAAGAAATTGAACAATTTGCAGGCAACCATAACAAGTACGAAGAATGTGTTTATGAAAAAAAAAGTACGAAGAATGTGAATAATTTGATTTAAACAGAGATTTTGAATAGGCAAAAGATGAGCCCAAGCTATGAATACTTCACTAACAGAAGCTAACATACAAACAATATAAATTTATGCCTAGAACAAGAACTGATGTCGCTATAAGAACATTACATTATGATAAAAATCAAGAGACATCAAAACTTTGGACGAATTCCTCATAGACTCGGCACTCAGAATCTTCATGGCGTCCATCTGGGATACAGCGGCGCATGGAACTCCAGACGGGGTATGTGAGCCGTGTAATTGTCGGTGCTTGCTTGGGTCCTTGCACCAAGAAACAGATTATGGATGAACGCATCAAAGTTGAGATCAATCATGGGATGGCGATATGGAAGCTGATGGAGAGACGTCGCCAACAATCTCTGTTCTGCATCCCATCTCTGTCGAGCATTGAGCATTTCAATGTATTCGGCCTCTCTCTCCAATTGCTCCCACATGTGTTGCTCCCAAGGGTCTAACTTTGGAGGTGTAAAACCAGGATGCTCAGTTTTCAAGTGATTTTTCAGCTGAGCATAGGTCCCTGAGAAATCACACTTGTCCACAGAACAAGACCTCGGTCTAGCATTCATGAATCTCCGAGCACAAGTCGACTTCATTGTCCCCTGAACCTCTCCTCTGCAGTAAGGACAGTTAAGAGTCTTGCCGCTGCAACGGCTTGAGCTGTTGTTTCTGCGGTACTGCTTGAAGCAGTTGGAGTGACGGGCGCTTGTGTCACACATGTAAGCACGACATCCTTTGGAGAAAGAAGAGCATTGCAAGAGGACAGCATTGTGAGGAGGCTCCATACAGATCACACACCTCACATCCTCCCATTCACTCACACTCTCTAACTCAACAGGTGACGACGCCTCGACTTGTTTTTGTTTCTTGTTCCTACAAGAGCGAAGCGGGTAAGGGGAAACCCTATTTATGTTGCTTGAAACCGGCATTATCCGTCTTTCCTTGTGCATCTCACACACACACACTGAAATCAAATAGAAAAGAGTGTTAATTCATAATCTCTGCCTCCAATCAACATAGACTCAGTTCTCTAAACACACAACAAGATGACACAGATGATATGAAAGCCAAAGATTCAACAAACCATCACATTCGAATAGATACATTCAACAAAAGATCAAGGAAACATGACAAGGAAGAGCTCAAATCAGTCTATATGGTACGGTAATCGAGCATGAACTTAATCCCACTGAAAACTAGAAATGATACAGAAGATGGTGGTTTTAATTTATTGGTCCAATAAAATGAAACTATTCACCTATCGCAAAACAGCTCTAAGACTTGTCAAATCCTCTCATCAACATGTAAAACATTCGAATTCATCCGCAGATTTCAAACCAAGAAACAGATCAATTCGATAATTTGGGCCCAGAAAAAGAAAAAACATAATATTCAAACGCGACCAGAAATTTCTGATCACATCCACAAAAACCGCAAAACGACAGAACATCATCGGGGATCGAGAGACCCAACGAGTAAATCAATTCACACCCATAAGAAGAGAAAAAAGAAAACGGAAGCTATTGAATGAATACCTCTGGCCGGAGAAATGAAAAGAGGCTTTCTTTCTTTGAGAGAGAGAGAGAGAAAAAAGTGAGAAAGAGAGAGGTTCGCTCCTCGTAAAGAGTTTCGTATGAAACGGTGAAGATGAAAAATTGGATGCGCGTGCGTGAATGTGAGATTGTCCGGGTGGTGATGGTTGGCGTTTTTATAGGCGTCGAGAGCACAAGAGATGTCTTTTCAGACATGACCAAAATACCCTTCCATCTTTTGTAATAAGTCCACCCTCTCTCTCTCTCCTTTCCTTTGCCAATTTAACCACATTTGTCTTTTTGACTTTCTTTGCCTTTCCTTTTTTTCCTTTTAAACGGCTTTTAATGTTTTTTTTTTATTTTGCCAACATTTATACGTGTGTCCTTGGCAAAAATATAATTTCACACTAATGATTGGATATTATGCTTATTTTTTCATTAGAGATACTTACTCATATTTTGTTTCTATATAGATTATCTAATAAGAAACATAACTTTTAAAATAAAAAGATGATAAAAAAAAAGTTACGTGGTTATCTTCTTATATCAAATTTTACATCTGTTGGGATGCATATATATGTTGACTTTTCTTTTACTGGAACCAAATTTCAATTATAGGTAAATTTCTATGTCACAATATGCTTTTTTTGTGTTATTAAAAAAAAAATCTCTGTATAAACAGTTAATCTTATAAAATGTAATATTAACTTTAGGCTTTTAAAATATTTATCATTTCTATTTTTTTTCAACAAATTTTTCAATTTATTATGTCCAAAGATATGCTTCTTTATTCTCTGTATTCAAGAAAATAAAAGTTATCTTTCTTAAATAAGTGGGGTGAAAGAAAGAAAATATGTAATTTATTTAGCTGTCAAATCTATGTATATACATATTTTCTTTCTCCTTTTTTTTTCTTGATGCATGTATATATATATTATCTATTCCATTTACGTGCAATTACATTTCTAGTAAAAAAACAAAAAAATATTACATTTCTAGTAAAAAAAAACACATACCACAATCGAACTCGCAAATCCCAAATTTTGGCAGTTGCCACTAATATGAATATACACGGCACAATCAATATCAACGACACAGGTTTCCAACTATTTTTATTCGAAAAGAAATTCAATCTTTTCTTAGAAAGAGAAGTCTAATTATTGAGAAAAAAATGTGATAAAATAGGAAGAAGATATTGGAACAGATTACACGAGCCCAACTATTGGGTTAAGTCGTCGGCCCAACAAATAAAAAGCGTTTCGGTTCACCCAATTTTGACCCGACCCGCAGCTTTTGCGGCTAGAAGAAGAAGAACCCTAACTAAACCCAACGTCGGCCTCTCTTTCTCTCTCTCTCTCCGCTTCTCTCGTCAATCGCCGACCATGGCCAAGGACAAACTCAAGCCTCTTCCCTCCTCTGATACTGCAGGTTTGCTTCATTCTATTCCCCTTTTCCTTTACCTATTGCTTAATTTTGTTGTGCTCATAGCTCTTCTCTTGTTTTATGAATTCAACAGGCGAAATCGCTGATACTACTCCGCGAGAGAAGAAGCATAAGAAGAAGAGCAAGAAGCGAGCTGAACCTGAACCCGATATACCCTCTACGCGTGATTTCGGTAAGATTTAAAGCTAGATTGTTGAAGATGAAAGCTCTGGATGAGTCTAGCTAGAGATTTTCATGACTTAGTTGGTCAATCTTATATTAGGGTTTGTATTTGATGATATATATATATATATATATATATATATAGGTCTTGATGAAGATAGAGATGGAGTGTTGGTAGATGATACTCTTAATGAGCCAACGATAGGTGATAAACTTGAGAGTCTTGACTTATTAAATGGCGAAAAGGTTATCAGTGAGGAGATTGATAGAGCTTCTGCTCCGGGCGATGATAAGCCTCCTACTGCAGCCTCTGTTAACGTTCTTCTGAGACAAGCATTACATGCTGACGATCGATCTCTTCTACTTGACTGCTTCTACAACCGAGATGAGCAGGTTTCAGATAGTTTCTGTCTGTTTCTTTACAATTTTGTTTGTTTGTTGGTTTCTTCTTGATTATTGCAATTCTCTATGAGTTACAGGTGATTGCTAATTCGGTCGCCAAGTTGAATTCAGCAGAAGTACTCAAGCTTCTAAATGCCCTTCTACCAATACTACAATCAAGGTGAGGGTTGATGATATATGATTTCTCTGTGTATGAGCTGTTTATGTGTTTTCTGAAGTTGTTATTCAAGTGGTTATTTTTCTACTGTATTGCAGGGGTGCAATTTTGGCTTGTGCGATTCCGTGGATAAAGAGTCTGTTACTTACTCATTCTAGTGGAATTATGTCTCAAGAGTCATCGTTGCTTGCACTAAACACCATGTATCAGGTTAGGAATTGCTTGTCTTTACTGTATGGCTGTGCCTGTTAGAGATACAGATCAGAAAGTCACTACAGATGAATCATTGAAATGTATTTTTTGGTTGCGTGTGCAGCTCATCGAATCACGGGTTTCAACTATTCATACTGCCGTAGAGGTCTCAAGTGGCTTGGACTTGGTATGTATTGTCTTACCTTGAAACGAGGAAGAATTTGATTTTAGTGTGTAGCCTAGGGGTTTGGCATTCGATTCCATGGATCACTTGGGCATTAAAAAACACAATGGAAGTCCTGAGATCACTTTGCATGGATAATACAGAGTTTTTGACTGGATAATATGTTACTGATTCGTCATTGATTGTGTTAATGGTAGATTGTGGACGACTTAGATGAAGAAGAAGATGAAGGTCCCGTGATCTATGAGGACAAGGACAGTGATGAAGAAGAAGGAGAAGGAATAGAGGAAGCAATGGAGACAGATGAAGAGGCAGACGACTCAGCGGATGAAGCAGCTGATGGTGTGAATGATTTTGAAGGATTTGACGACATGAGCGATTGATAAAGCTCCTGAAAAAGGCAAAAGTTTTGATTTGTGTGAGGCTGATTGATTGTTTAGTTGTCAAGAATATGGCTAAAAGGTACAATCTTTCGTCAAGAAGTCTGTAATACGTAATGGTTATATCGATATGGACGAGACTTTGTACGCAGGAAGAATTAGTTTTTTTTTTTTAATACATAAAAGAAAAAATTGACAAGAATAAGGTGTATGTGAAAATTGAAAGGAGTTGAAAAGGTCAAGCATGATTGAGAAAATGATGGATCATAACAGTTAAAAGCTCTCCTTGAAAAATGGAACACCATTGAATAGAGGAGAAAAATGCTACGCATTCACATAGATATGATTATAAAGGACGAAATTGTTTGAGAGAAGAAAGAAACAAGTAAGAAATGGCGAGCGGACAGAATGAGGAGTTCAGTGTGAGGGCCGGCCAAATCGTGGGCCAAGCTCATGTCAGTGTTTTTGTTCAATTTCTCTTTTACTTGTCCCTTTTGCGACCGTATTAACTAACTCTAAAAAGATATTACACGGAGTTTTCTTTTAAAAATGATGTTTGGTATCAGGTGAAGGAGAATGATTGCAACAACTCTTCTCAAGCTTCAGGTTTTCTCCAGCAGGTTAACTTAACACATCAACTCTACATCTTTCTAGTTTTGGACTTTTCATTCTTTATTAAGAAATAAGATTTGATGATTTATCAGAAAGGGGAGAAAGTAAAGAGCATGGCACATGAAGCATCAGAGGCAGTGAAGAACAAATTGGGGATCAACAGTGACAACAATGAAGAATATAAGAACAAGAACCCTTTGGACAAGAAGAATCCTAACAACACAACCAGTCCAAGCATGCCTGGTCATCCTCCTTCCGATATCTAAACATTTCACAAAACTCTTCTTTTTATTCCATTAATAAATGTCTGTAACAATAAGGGATATTACACATTGCATCCAAGCCAACACATGTTCAAACTTTTTTTTGCTTTAGACATGTTCACACTTGTGTTGACCAATACATGTTGAGACTTTGGTTTTGATTTTTCTATCAAACGCCGGCTTACACTTTGGTAATTTCACCCCAGCCGAGCTATATTTCTATTCACATATATACAAACATACACACAAACTCCCTTAAGAGCATTGATTCTCTGCCCATTTGATGGCAGACCTTGCGAGTGCATCCATTGGATCAACACACTTCTTTAGCAGAGGATCATCCCCTGGCAAGAGGTCCCGCATCTCATCTGACCCGAGCATCACCACGTTTACCGCCTGCACTAGCAATACCTGCAACGCTATCCTCAGAAGGTTCCGTGCTCCTTCCATGTCTTCTCTCTTCATTGCTTCTATGGATGGGATCACCGTGTGCTCCATTGTCGCCTTGTCTGGAAGCACTGCCTCAAATCCCTGTTCAGTTCCACAATCACAGAGTCACTTCATACGATGGATAATAGTAGCTTTATAACAACTTAGCTTTATAATAGTTCCAATGGACAGTACACAATAGAATACTGACATTGCTTTGAAGTTTCTCCTGGTAGAACCCTGCGGATAACGTGGCACTAGTGGCCATCACACCCACACGCAGAGGATTCCCAGCTTCAAGGGGCTTCATTTTTGCCTCTTGGAGCTCTTTAGCAATGCATTCACCCATGTGAAGCAGAGGAACTGAACTCCCTTCACAAACCTCTTCATACCATATATGTGCAATATGACAGGGCATTAAGATTAATTTAGCTCCACATTTCTCAAGATATCTCCTCTTATTCCTTAGATTCCCCACAATTAGCTTTGGATCCACCGGAGTACTCTCTGCTCTATGGTAAAGAGAAGGATACGAGTTTTCCTCGTATAAGAGAAGCTCCTTGTTGAGTGCAGGATCCGAGCACAGCACAAAGGGTAACGAGCTTTTACCATCTTTTGAGCTCCAATCCACGAGTTTCTTTACAAATTTCAGAGTGGAATCAGTTGAAACGCCTCCAATTATCCCCACTGTGTTAGCCTGCCTAAGCAAAGAATCTGCAGAAAGACTGTTTAAACTGTTTCTCGAATCCTCACTTGGACAAAAACCCTTCTTGGGCTTGGGAAGATCATTGCTTTCGTCCATATGCAAGAGGATTGAAGACGGTGGCATGGCAAGGACACGACTCAGTCTTACCTTACACGAAACCCGACTAGAGTAGCATACATGAGCTAAGCCATGACATGGGTTGTTGAAAATCTGAAGATACATCACCAAGCTTCTGTCCTGAAAATGCTTTCTGATAGTTAGTACTTCAGATACACCTTTGACAAAACTAGCAAAAGTTTCCAACTTATTCCCTCCCCCACTAACCTGAATCTTACTTCAGAGTTCAAACTCCAAATCTTGACACCAAAGTTCCAAATCCAGCTGAGATTCAGAAAAAGGAAAAAGAAATAAGGAAGCAACTTCTAAGTTATAAAGTCGCAAGGACCTTTTCTAGCTTTTAGGAGTAAGATCCTACAATCTCTAACATGAACTCACTTTTCTGCAGCTCCTGGGTGAAACCCACACTGCAAGAAATTTGGATGCAATTCCCAAACCAGCCAAACCAGTACTTCTCCTTAATAAGACAGAAGTAAACGTCTAGCTGAATCTAGAAACTTACTATAGAAGATTCTCTTGAAAACAAAATCTTTGTAAGTTATTGAGCAGGATGACTGATTGCCAGAAACAAAAAGGAAACAGTACTAAAAGAACAGGTGGGACACCAGAACAACGGCCTGAAATCAACCCAATACTTTTCCACTTCTATCAAAGAAACCGATCCTATGAAAGCTGGACCAGTAGGAGTCAAGTTGAAGTGAGGAATCGTCGCCTCAGATAAATAATCATATTTTCACTGGATTTCACCAAGAGGCAGTAAAGAAGATGGAAGATACCACAATGTAAGGCGTTAAATTCAAGAAGATGAGTCCCTGTCTGGTTCTTTTTCCGTTTCTTGTGATATTTTATATATATTTTCCTGCAACATGTGGGTTGTCTCTGTTTGGTGGATTCCTTTGTGTTCTTGTCCTCTACTGAATCCCACATGGTCCATCACCCATCTAAGGGTCCATTCAGATTTGATAATCCCTCAATCAATGGAATCCTCCAGAAACAGGTGTTGATCTTCTGATGGACAGAAAATGCATAAACAGCTTAGAATAGATAGATACGAATGGAGTTTCTTTGTCTCACTTATACAACTACAAGAAGCGTTTCAATAAAGGAATAGGCTTCAAGGTCTGAGAAGAGCTCCCACTACACTAACAAGTTCCACCAAACCACACAAGAAAGTGAAATTTTTTAGTGAAGGAGCAAAAGATGATTATAGAGCAGGAAGCACAGATTCAATTAGAACACACGCCAATATTTGATTTTGAAATGTACAATGCGATATATACGTATCTAGCATCTAATTACCAAACAAACAAACCAATGTCAAGCTCCAGATATGGAGAGAAACCCTCATTTCAGAATAAAAATTCCTATAGCAAAACAAAAAAAAAAACTAAACATCGAAGAAAGACTCTTTCTTTCCACATTCGGGAAAATGGGAAGAACCCAGACGACGTTTTTACCTGAAATGAGGGATCAGGGAAGCTAATCATCGAAGAGAGACTCTCTCTTTGAAGAAACCATTGTGTTTTTTCCCCAGCAAAATCCAAAATCAAAGAAGACATGAGAAAAAGAAAGCCATTGTGTACTTACTTGTATACTTGTCTTTTGTCCCACATCGGTTACTTAACTCAAAATGTTTTACTTTATATATGAAGTGAAAGCAATGTTATAACGTCGAGCTCAGTAGCGAGGGCTTGTGACCCAAGTGGGGACAATAGGTTGGTGGAACACTGGCTCGGCCCACGGGTCGGATCTGTTGTGGCATTGTTTCGGGCTGCCCAGTCCAAGCTGTGAGTGATCCGTGTGTGTTAAGCGAAGGCTTGGCTCAGGCGGTTCCTGCAGTGGAGGGCAATGCGTGAGGCTGGTTTCACAGAGCAGCGATCACCTCCCGCTCTCAGCAGTGGATGGATCACAGCTCGACGCCACTCAGATTCACCATGGCCTGCTGGCTCGTTCCCAGCTGGACCACCAATTTTTTTAATTTTTTTCTTTTTGGTAATTCCATTTATGGGCCTGGAGGGTAAGCAATGAATGGACTTCTATTTTTGTCTATTAGGCCCCAAGTTTGTGCTATTGACTTGTCTTCTTCAACATTGGTGAGTTGTGCCAACTCAAATAAGGGTTATAGATTTTTGTTATGCTCATTATTTTAATCTAAAGAATACAGATTTGCAAAACCCACCACATGCACATTTTTTAGTAAGTTTGATCCAGAGAAGAAGCAGAAGATATAAGAAGGTGAATTATAGAATAAAACTATATATTATACAATCATGTTGACTTGTTTTAAAATTGGTAACCGAATTACTTTGACTCACTTTCACCTCTTTGTGTTGTTTTTCCTTTCAAGTTTATACAGAGAGATTAGATTTGGCATTTAATATCATCCTCACGTACTCACCTAATAGATTTGGTTTACCGAAATGGGGAAGAAGACATTTTAAAATTAGTGTGTCCTATAAGTCAATTCTGCTGTTCATTTCTAATCTATTATCTAATCCTTTCAATTTGAGGGTAAAACAATAGTACTTACAAAAAGTCTTACCCCTTTCGAGTTTAAAGAAACAAACATTCTGGAATAAAATAACAAAACCGGTTTTTATTACAAATTCATGTTTGAATTATCCGGTTAAAATGTTATCGTTTAAGTCCGCTTACATTAATTCCGATAATTGTTGGAAGCATCATCATAAAAATAAATAATAAATAGTGGACCGACCCCATAAAAATATTGAGGACAGAAATAAAAGGAAACCAAGTCTGAAACACAATGATTGATTAATCACTTATAAGGCCTAAACTCACTTTTTTCTAGTTTTTCTCTTCTTTTAGCTCAAAAGAGATCAAAAGAGACACACAGAGAGATCCATGGAGGGTCTTCAAAGATCAACAATCTCCTTCCGCCGTCAAGGATCTTCCGGTATAGTTTTTGACGATCGTCTCATCGCTGAGCTTAACAAAACGGGAGGCAACGAACAGAAAGACGAAAGTCAACGCGACGAACAACCTAAGCCTATGTCGGAAAGCTCAGAACAGGTCAAACCAATCACCGGCGGCGATGAGAAAGACAAGCTCAGACCGATTAAAACCGGTGGAGGAGCACCAGGAGGAATAGAGAGAAGTCGATCTAACGGTGGAGGAGCTCAACGACATCACAGAACAACCGGAAGAGTGTCTCCGGCAGTGGACCCGCCGTCTCCGAGAATTTCGTCATGCGGTTGCTGCTCTGCGTTTGGAAAGAATCCGCCGGGGAAGAAGGTTAATCCGAGGAAAAGGCCGCCGAAACGTAGATCGAGGTAGGCGTCAGGATTATAAATTTATGAGAACAAAATAGTATACACTGTCTTTCATCTTCTTTCTTTCTTTTTTTTTTGTATGTGTGTTTGCTCTCTGTTATAAAAACTTTTTCGATTTGATCAACAGACTCTGGTTATTGTAAATTATCTGTCTTTCTTTGTTTTCGCACAATTTCCATTTCTGTACATATCAAACTTTCCAATTTGGGGATCCACAAATGGCGAATTTTCCTATTATCTATCTGTTCACCGAGAAAAAATTACAACTTTCTGAGAGAAATCAAACCACTTCAAGTCCCTTCCGATGGCTCATTGAATCTTCTAGGGTTTCGAATCTGGCAGAAGGCGGCGGATCGTAATCAAAGATAAAGTTCGATGCTTTTGATTTTGAACAGATAATCATAAATCAATCTGCTGCATTGATTGGAAAATGGACGGCTCTGATTTGATTTGATATTAATATTGGGGTTTCTAATTAGGGAAAATTTCCAAAAAAAACCTCATGTATTTTTTATTTGGACGTTTAATACCCAATTGTTTTCGGTTGGAAGAAAAATACATATATTAATAAAACTGTGCGATTTAATACCCAAACAATCAAATGTTGTTATTTTCATACTTACGAACTCACAACAAAAAATATATTCCAATTTTACCCTTATCATCTCAATTAATTATTAACTTTTAAATAAGATGATATTTTTTTTCTTTAAATAAAAATTAATTTTGTTAATGCTTTATTTTATGATGCCTAAAAAATAAATTTTAAATTTATATAATTATTTTATTTTAAAATTAAACATAAAAATTAGCAGAAAATCAAAAATATTAAAAATAGTCATTTGTACAATCTTATTCCGTCTTTGCAATGTCAAAGAGACGTTTTCTCTTCGGTTCTAATTTTTTCGATTAATATCTACGAGAATTACCGGTAAACAATCTCCGTCGTCCTCTTTTGCAACCATCAAATTCGATAACCATTCGCAATCTCCTTTTAATCCTATCCAAAATCTTCATCGCCAATAAAACTAATTTGATTTGATTCGTCGTGATGTATATGATATCAACGAGCATCAATATGAACTTTTTTTTCGTCGTGAGAAACTCTTTATTCGAATATAAATCCTTCACGAATGAAACTATTTTCGACAAAATCTCAATCCGAATCTCATCGTCTCTCTCAAGATTTATCAATTCATAAAAATGGCTATTTTTTTTTTTTACTTTTTCTAAATTTTTTGCTAATTAATTTTATTTTTAATTTTTAAAATTAAATATTTGTAAATTAAACTGCAAATTATTTTGAAAATTTTTTTGAATTTTTTTTTGGGATAACAAAGAAATGAAATATTTATAAAATTAATTTTTATTTAAATAAAAAACTATTGTGACGTAATGTAAAAGTTAATAATTAATTGAAATAGTAAGGGTAAAATTGGAATTTTATTTTTGTTGTGAGATCGTCAGTATGAAAATAACAACCTTTAATTGTTTGGATATTAAATCGCACAATTTTATTAATATGTGTATTTTTCTTCCAACCGAAAATAAATGGGTATTAAACGTCCAAATAAAAAATAATTGAGGTTTTTTTTGGGAATTTTCCCTTTCTAATTATATACTTACTGGACCCGCCGAGGGGGAGGGCCGTTTCACCGCCGCATTTAACGGCTACGCCACCGTGTCTTGTCCGGATCAAGCAAAACATCACACTACCATTTATAGAATAGCTGTCTTTAATTGTACTAATATTTTCTGTCTTTAAGTTATATTTTTTTATTAAATGAAAATCTTCAATCCATGACCAGACCAAAAAAAAACTCTTTCCGACAAAGTTTCATCTTTGAGTCAAGCTCAGAGTTTAAGTAAAGAATCAAAACATAAGATTACAACTTTTCTTGAAGAGTCTGTCATTGAGGCCCGAGCTTAGGACAGCCCTCAGCTAGAGGCAAGTCCAAGTTGTCGACTGTCCTAAAAGTGCGTGGTACCATCTTATCAACATAAAGATTACCATCCAAATGATCACACTCATGTTGCAAAATCCTCGCTTGCCAACCTGAAGCATTCACTTCGATCCTCTTTCCTTGACGATCGTAGCCTGTCACTACCACTTCTAGGTATCTCTCCACCGCAGCTCTGAATCCATTAACACTCAAACATCCTTCAAAGAAGAGAGCTTTCTTGTTGCTTCTCTCCTTGAGAACCGGATTCACCATCACCTAACCAAACCCACCACAAAAGTCAACATTTTTTGTTCTAGTCTCAAATGTAACAACTCTTAAGCACTCTATATTTATACTCTTTACCATGAGATCAAAATGACGTCTTTCTTGAGCAAGAATCTCTTCCTTTGGTGCGTAACTTATATACTCTTTTGTATCTTCCAATACAATAATCTGCATCATCACAACATGAAAAAAACAATTTAATCATTTGCTTTGAAAGGGGACAAATTAGAAAGAAAAAAAAAACATTTAGACTTACCCTTAAGGGAACACCAATTTGAGGAGCAGCGAGGCCAACTCCAGGAGCCAATCTCATCACTTTAATCATATCATCAATTATCTTCTGAATACGCTCCGACCCGATTTCTTCCGGGTCAACTTCTCGGGCCTTCTCGTGCAGAACCGGGTCTCCAGCTGCCACTATCTCCGGTAAATCCACTTTCTTTTTCTTCTCCCCCAGACCCAACAACCAACCGGCTTTTGTCGACAAAGAGGATGAGGAAGAAGAAGAAGGCAAATTATACAGCTTACGGTTCAATAAGTGTGAGGAACTGGGTCTCGAAACGGGGAATCGGATCGAGCGACATGTCACGGCGGCGGAAACCGGAAGTAGACCAAGTGAGACTCTGAAAAGGGTTCCCATGGCCGTCGCTTGGTCTCTGTGGAGTCCCATCGGTCATTTCTTGAAACATGGCTCTTTGGGCCTATTACCGCTCTTTCGGCCCATTATCTTAGTAGCCCAATATAAAGGAGATACTGTAGTTATAATTTTAAAGCTTATATTTCTTGAAGTTAACCAATTGGGTCTTTGTTCAAAAAAAAAAAACCAATTGGGTCTTTGTCCAAAAAAAAAAAAAACACCAATTGTGTCAACTTTTATGAAGCAAGTTCTCTGTCTCTTGGCAAAAGAGACCTTCTAGATATGTTTTCTTGCTTAAGGATGTCCAATCCGAAGTTGGTTCGGATTTTTAATAAGTTTAGTAAGTAAAATAAAGCCAAATAAAAAAAAATAAAAAAATTAAACCAAATCTAGTATTGATCTTGCTTAGTTATAAGTTATAACTGAATCATGTATTAATCTGTTTATATTGGTTTTATATTTTTCGAAACAAGAAATTTTGACACGTACGTTTGTTTTTTTTATGATGACGATTTGTGACACTTAGACAGACGTGTCCTCAGTCAGAAACTAAAGTACGTTGGCTTTAAAGTTTGAACCAATATTCTATTAAATTTGGTATATGTTAATATGTATAATATATGATTCAACGAATCTGCCGGAAACTAATTAGTTCGGTTAGAGTTAGGTTATATGCTAACTTAAGCCACATGATCTCTTCTTTGTTATTGTATTTTATTGCTCTTCTTGGTAAGAAAATAAGCAGTACCAGTTACCGGAGCGGCGACAATGGGAACTGTGGGCGGTGAGTTAATTAACGAGGTTAATCTCCAATGCTTAAGCCGTAATTCGTGCGGTATTGAAAAAAAAAAAAAAAACAACAACAACAACAAAGTCAAATTATATATAGCTTTTTGGAATCTTGCTTCCTTGTTTCTCCAAATTAACAAAGTCAAATTCAATATGTAGTTAGGCAACCTCTTTTATTTCTTTCAAGCGGAATCTTAGATTTGATGATGTATTATTCCACTAATTAAAAGAGGATTAACGTATACATCTTTTCTTAAATAGAAAAATAATATCCCATTTAATTTATTTTGTACAACATATGCGTAATTAATCTGTTTGATGCAAAAGATGTGAGAAGTGGAATCACTCTAAAACAATAAGCCGAAGATGTAAAACAAAGAAGTTAATCTTTGTGCTGGTAATAGAAATTTGATAACATAAATATTAGTTATCCTCCATGATTATAATCTTTGCAGAGAATATACATTTCAATAGAATTAATAAAGACAAATATAAACAATAAAGTAGAGACGGTGCTTTGTAGATCATTCCTCTGGCTCTGAGTCGCTTAGATAACGTTTTTGTTGTTGTTAATAAGTCGCGTGTATAACTTGAGATTCAAGATTCCATTTCTTTTTATTCCTTCAACATTCAAATATGGTTTCCGTAAAGAGAAAAAGTCTTCTCGTTTCCTTCATATCTAATTATTATTATTATTTTTTAGAAAAAAATCATATTGGAAATCCGCTATAAATACATAGGTCTCGAGCATCTAACAATTCACCATCTCTCAAAAATCAAATCTGGAAACACAAGCACTCTTTATACACACACATATCAACCGACAACCATGAACAACAACAACAACAACAACAAGAACACGAAGATGATGAGTTCCGCAAAAGAGAGTCGTAATGGTACCACTAACATTTTTATTACAGAAACGAGGAATAAGAAGGTGGAGAGGAAGGCATCTATGGACGTGGACAAATGCGCAGAAGCTTTCATCACAAAGTTCAGAAATCAGCTTCTTCTCCAGCGTCTCGAATCCATCGAAAACATGCTCTCCCGAGGCCCTTAACACTACTTATCAATACACACATGTATTCTTTCTATTAATTTTTGTCTTTTATATATATTCTATGGTTCATGAGATTCCAACGTATGGATAAAATTTTATGGCTATTATAGATCTTCTTTCTTTTAGATGTGGGATTCATTCTTTAGGTAAATTTTCTGGTATTTTTTTGTTACAATATAATAAATGTAAGGTGACTTAGCAATACTGTATCAACTTTTATATATTTTTTATTTTTTCCTTCTCAATCGAATTTGTGAACTTCTAAACCAAAGGGAATACGAATCGCCTTATCTTGAGGAGTTTTGCCGAGCCAAACATGTATTACGGACGCCTCTTACGAACTACCTTGGAAGGCTCTTTACAAGCCTTTGTTGTAGATAGTCAACGTAGCTATGGGATTCCTAACATATAGGAGGGTCTAGAATGCATTTCTTGGGGGAGAGAGTGGTCTCTTTAGTTGCATTGCACAAAAGCGTTAAATAGAACCAACTTCATTAACCAATTTACATATGTAAGCATTATTTCCCTTGATTATATTATATTAGCCTGTGGAGCAAAAGGAATGATCATTTCCTCGAAGGGCATCACATTCGCTGATTCACATCGGTCTCTTATTGAATATTCCACCCAAAACCAAGCACACCAATAATACACAAACACACACAATATATAAAGATAAAGTGAGCTGTTTAGGGGTAGACCACTTGGTGGATCTGAGTCTGCGGTTGTGGCTGCACCATCTGGTGGAGTTTGACTCTTGAGCAAGACCGAGCCATTCCTCCTACGAGGGGGACAACGGGGAGGCTGTCACAGTTGCAGATCTCGATCATGAAGCCATCAGGGTCGTGGAAGAAGAGCTGGTCCACTTGGATCCCTCCTTCTTCTACTAATGCCCTTACATACTCTATCCCCATTTCCTCCAGCTGCTTCTCCACTACTCCCATACTCTCACACTGTATTTCCACAATTCACAACTCTTGTTATTTCAGGCCAAATTTTCTCCTATAATCTTATATATGCTCAAAACAGAGTAACAACTATAATCGGGACCAATCTCCTCTTCATAAACTCTTCACACACATACCAAACACAAGATGTTTGATTCTTAAAACCAAATGGTTTGTTGTCTAATTCCTAACTACCATTTCTATTACACAACTATAAAAGTTAAGGATGTTTTGATTTTTCAAAACCAAATTGTTTGTTGTTAATAATTGGAACAATGAATACTTCTACCTCACAAAACTTGACCTCTAGCTGAAAGCCCCACCTTCTATTGTCCTTTTTTCTCTCTACACTTAACGTATTCCTTGTCATTTTCTCTAGGATCTTTTGTTCTCTCATAAATTAGTTTACTTTATTTCATTCATAGTTATCATAAGCCACTCCAAACTTTACTAAAAAAATCTAACTTTACTTAGGAAACTAACATAATTTTAGATTTTTTTCCTTAATAATAAATAATTCTGAGTTTGTGTTTTGCACAAAAGATTCATAGATATAGACAAATGTCCTGTGACAACATCTAAATACAGAGCTTGTATGAACGTAGATTATGGTTCAGGGCTTAAAAAGCAAAATAAATATTAAAAAAAAACAGGGCCAAACTGAGAATAACAATAAAAAATACCTGGAAAGAGATGTGATTATCCTTGGGATTAATCGCAGTTTTCTTGGGAAGTTTCTCTGGTTCTGGGGCACAGAGTAGGTGTATTCCAATCCCATGACCAAACAACCTAAACCCAAAAAAAAAAGAACATGTAAAAACTCATTGATAATTAATTTTCCCTCAAAAATTCAGATATATATATTAAAAGAAAATGATAATTACCAAGCGCCTTCAAAATTCAAGGATTCAGGTCTTCGAATCGGGATGAACCCTAACACCTTTTGGTAAAAGTTCATAGATTCGTCGACGGAACGGCACAAGACAGAGACATGGTTCAGTGACGTGAGATGCAAAGGGTTACCTGCGTTTTCCTTCATTTTCCAGAGACAAAGATCCTAAGAGGCAAAAAGAAAGAAAAAAAAGTAACGCCGCCTTTATTCAACAATCCAAATACAATGACGTCTACGTTGATACAACAAGCGAGAATGATTGTAATAGTTGCAGAATTTATTATTACATGTGTGATCTTTATATATAGTTTGTGTTGTGTAGAAAGAAGGTTAATGGGATAACCACGGAACTTAATCTGATGATCAATTACACATGGCTATGATGTATTTATAGAAAAGCTAGCGTCTTAAGCAAATATGGCTATTTTTTTTTATGGATTTTTAACCTTTCATAATTATATTTAAAAATTAAAAAAAACTATGTATTTTTATTTGGATCATAGTCACACGAACGTACCAAACAAATTTGGCCTATAAGATCTTATTTTTCTGTATTTGGTTTAGTCTTTGATTATAAGTTTGAGTGTGACACGTCGATTTAGGTTTGATAGTTAGATATATTAACAAATTTAACAATGAATATAAATGGATAAATTCGTCAAATGCATGGTATTAAAAAAAAAAGTTTCCTAGTCAATAATTTCAACTGAAGATATAATCTTATCTATTACGTAAATATTTAATTACTACGTAATAGGAATGATTAGAAGAGAACTAACAAGGTTATAATGAACAACGTACACCTAATACGTAAATAATTGAAAAATGATGTGATTGGTAAAAAGAAAAGGTGAAATTGGGCGGTTACAAATGAAAAATGTTGTGATTACTCATTCCTGCCTGGCAGTGTCAGGATTAGTTCAACACGTAAGAACTCATACAAGCTGACTCAGACAGTCACAACTTCTCATATTGGGACACGTCAGTATTCTCAAACGTTACTCGTTTGTTGTTTTTCTGTATAGAATTTGGTCATTTGTTGCCGTGTCCAGTGCAAATTGGGCCGTCCCAATTACCAAATGATTTTCTTTAAGATATTTTTATAATATTATTCAGACATGTTGCGGTATTATTTATATGATTCATAAAAAATAAAAAACAATTGTCATAGGTGAAACTATTTAAACCTTTTTTATATTTATATATGTGACTATTTCAAATTTTGTTTAGTTATATATATAAAAATCCAATAAAAATAAAGAAAATAAAAAAGTGGTAGAGCATCTCTATTGATGAGATATCTATATTCTATAGAGTATCTCATAAATATAACTACTATTATTTTAATCTTATTTAATTTTAAAATTTAATATTTTCAAATATATCAAACTACATTTTAAATATAATTATTGTATTAACTAATTATAAACATATCAAGTTATAACTAAAACAATATTAGTTTAATAGTTTGTATTTACCTTAATTAATATCAATTAAAATAATACCAATATAGATCATTTATTTTATGGTTTAAAATATAATAAAAAGAACACCATATAAACTATTTAATTGGTATACATATAATTTTCCTTTATAATTTGTAAAAATTAATAGAAAACACATAAAAAGACATATATCAATGTGTTAAGGAGAGAAAAGGTTTCTTATGGATATCTCAAATTAAAAGCTCTTTTATGGAATTCTCATAATTTTATTTTATGATTTTTTTTCATTGTTAAGACTTAAGAGACTTCCAATAAAAATGCTTTTAGGTCCTTTTTTTATATTTATTTATCGTATGACAGTATAACTCACATTTATCGAGTTTTTGGATTTTAGCAGGATTGTTAAGTTCCACCTAATCTCGCATGATCTTCTATGATTTCATTTTATAGTTTCGTACCCCATAATTCTAAAACATACTGAATTAGCTTTAAAAGTTGATTATTACATTTTCAGTGAGTGTAGATTGGTCACTTGCTTCGACTATTATACACCCACCAACACGTTTTAAATTTACTTTATACTTGTTACTTTTTATCTATAGCCTTTTCTTCTGTCGAAGGGCCGATGAAATCTAAGCTTAAATCCAACTAAAGATTTGATAAAGCTTTTTAACCTTTTCTTCTTTTTTTTCCCTCATTTTCAAATTTGATTTAAATAGTTTTGTTTCAACTAACATAGTCGAGACAGCTTTAGTGCATTCTGCAAAATATATTTTGTTTACCAAGCAAATGGAAGGCCCATTAATGGGAAGTGCTTAATTTTTGTAGAGAAGAGACTCAAAAAAAAAAAATTAATAGTAAGAAGTACTTCGCTATGCAGGATGTTCCACTTCTTTTTTTTTGCCATCTAGATTTATTATTAATTGCAAATTATGAGAACTGTTACATAGACGATTCTACAACTGACAATTTCTGCCGACCCTTAGTAGATCCACGACAGACTACACTTCCTTCTTCATGATCTTGATGAATACCTTCAATGATCCACGACCTAGCGACACTTCCTTCTCTGCGTAGAATCCTGGCGCACGGCTATAATTGTACATCGCTGGAGATCTCCTGCACACTTGCCTCCATTAATCTGCAAATTTGTTAATAAATCGCAATATCTGGGACTCGAACTCCAGACCTCTTAGTGTAGAAGCATTAATCAACCTTTGATCAACCAATGGGCCAAAGGGGCTTCCACAACAGGATGTTCCACTTCAAATTTTCGAAACACATTCTCTCTTTTATTGTATTATTTGTTAGGAAAGTCTCTGGATATTGAGTTGCAGTTTTTTTTAGGCCTTTGAATACTACAAATTAGATAGCAGGAAAAAGCCTCTGGATAGGAATTTTTTCTTTATTATGTGACACTACAAAATGAAGGATAAAAAAAACACACTACAAAATGGACTGATCGAACAACAGCAGTAGTTGATAGTCGAATATTTGATAGAGAGAAGTGATTCAACAAACAACAATCGGTGGAGAATGAGAAAGGTCGTAAAATGAGTAAAAGAAGAATGTGTGGTTTGGTTGGAGCAAATCAAACTTCAGAAGGAGGTTTCAATCTGATGAGTCTCTTGATCCTGTCTTTGTCGGTGTTCTCCAGAAGTCCGTTCCAAACGATTTCATCAAGACACAAGCAAATCCTTCCATATTTATCCAAAAACACTCGCTCGGTTGGAGGCTTTCCGCATACGTCTTTCACAGCCGCTGTTATGATATATATGGTTTCTGCCACTGCACCACAGAAAAGAACAACACAGAATCAAAAACTCTGAATGAAACAGAGATCAGTCAGTTTACAAAGAGGAGAAAAGGCTTACAAGCAAGTTCATCGTACTCGTCTTTGCCAACAAGGAAGATGCTAACATCCCCTAGCATTGTGTACACGATATAAACCGACCTGCACAACAAACTCTCTGTTACTTGTATACCCAAAAAACTGTTGTTTGTTTGGTTTCGTAGTTTTATCGAAAAGGATACTAGAGGTAGAATGATGTACTTGTGGCAAGCAACGAGAAGCTCCTCATTTTTAACGCCTTTGAGATTATCTGCTCCCAACTTGACCAAGAAAGATCGCCAGTGGAGCCGTTCCTCAGCTGGTACTCCATTGAACCTGCAAGATAAAAATGCCTTCTGATGATTTGCTACTAAAGATTAGACAAGTCACGTGTGTTGGTGATCAGACACCCTCTGATTTCAGATCTACTAGGTGATCCCAACTCTGTATCAGTGGTAATTTCGACCCACTAGCCTTGCAAGCCAAATTCCACAATGTGATAAGGGAGCACAATGATATACTTAAGGTATTAAGAATATATTTGGAGCAAAAGCCAATACAATTAAACTAGGCAAGTGGGTCGAAACTAGCACTGATACAGAGTTGGGGACAAAAACAATGTAGATGCATCACAAAACATGAAACTTTATCTTCTCCAGAATCAAATGTTTGAGATATCTCCAGATCTAGTATGCACAGAGGGAGATTGAAATCCAATCTCAACCAAAGAGTAGTCAGAGACACTGCATATGAATTACAAGGAAAAATCAAGCTATCGAAAACCCTAATCTGACAATTCAACAAATTCATAACCCAGATCTACAAAGAAGAACAATCGCGACGGCAATGTTTGATATGGGACCTTAGAGAGTCAACGAAAACGAGCTAAGAGGTTTTCGATCAAATGAATGTGAGCAGAAGAAACTGATTGCGGAAATCGATGACAAGATTGGAGGAAAAGAGAAATTGAGATCTAAAGAGCCAACCTTTCGATCAAAACATTCCCAACGGAATTGGCGAACAACACGGCTAGGATCATGATCTTCCTCTCTCAAGTTTCTTCCTTTTAGCCTTTCTTCGGGATCCTTTATCGATTCTTCCTCTTCTCTACCTCAAAACATTTTCGCTTCTCTTACTTTTTTTCTTTTTACTTGGGTCAATTTTTTACTTTTTCAACATTAATTTACTTTACTTTTCGTAATTACTCAACAAAGCCTTAAATAAAATTTGACAAGGGGCTTTTTCGTAATTACATTGGTTCGAATATTTCAATTTTTTTTATTTTTTTATAAATTGGTTTATTGACAAAAGTCTTCCTGCCTTTCGTTATTGGGTCTTCATTATTTGATATAACTACGATTAAATCTTGTGAACTGAAATAGCCACTCTGTGAAATGAATATACCCATATCTTTCTTGTTAATTTGTCTGTATAGGTGGACGTAGATACTTGATAGGTAAGTGAGATGGGGAAGAGAAGAGATGTTGATAGTTAAAAAATGAAAGGTCAACATCAATGGAGAGTTAAAAGGAAATGTGTCATTGTTCCAAATCTAACGAGAGAAAGTAGAGACCATCTTTTTCATTCTTGTTATCTTCATTATTTCTTTTTTCTCCCTCTTTTACACTACTTGCATGTTATAGCCAATTTTCTCTGTAAATAAATTTTATTAAACTCGTGAGCTTGGGGAAAGAATAAAAACAAATATTAATTATACTATTACATTGTATGAATGGCTTAAGTGCAAGTTACAGTTAAAGAGGACAAGTCATAAAGATGAGCACAAACAAGTACAAACAAGCTACTGTGGAAGTTAAAGTTGAACCTCTTCTTTAACCTAATTCGTTTTGCCCTTCATTTGTACTTTTTTTAAAAACCTAAAGAATCCTAACTCTTATCATTTCTGACTTCCATCTTTTTTTATATGAATTTTATTGATGTATTAGTTTATATATTGATATCTTTTTATCACGTTTGTGTTACGACACTTGTGGAAATTTTATTTGCATGTGATTAATTGTGGTGGACAAAACTCAAATGGTTGATTTGGGACGTTTTAAGGATTCAATCATCGTCGTTGATGCAAAACGTCACAATTAGACGTTGAGATATATAAAAAATAAGATAATATATATGCGTGAGATTGATAAATTTATTATATATACAAATACAAAAACAGAAATGAAAGATACGTTCATCATCAATAACAATCTTTTTTGGTTTTAAATTAATGCGCCTTCCTCTCTCGGTTAGACAAAGTAC